AAATTGAAATTCTCTGCCTTGCATCAGCGTGTGCTGTAATTAAATCTATAACAAAATAACATAGTAATACTGGTCGGATAATGTTTTTCAAAATTGCTCATGGACCAATTCTGAGATAAAGATGGGATACAAGATATTTGTGGAAGGACTTAATGTTTTGTTCTATATGGGACTTAACTAAGTACAATGGAGCTGACAAATAGCTACCACTTATTTACTGTCACGTATAGTAATCTGTCTTCTGCATTTGACCCATGCATTTGCAGAGAACACAAGCCACAGGTAATCCGTCAGGGAAGAGCACACAGGTCTGGCAACAGGATTGAGTCTACGAATTTCCCAGGAGCATGCTTGCTACCCTTTCAGCCATTGTGCTGCCGAGTTCTTGCAGCATGTACTGATAAGGCAATGCTTTTTGTAATAGAAATGCAAACTGATGACTATCTCCTAAATTCAGCCTTATCCAAGGTAAGAAATTCTCCAAGAGGAGAAGAGAATCCAGATCCTGAACGATTATTTAGATCACCACGATTACTGTTTGGGGTTCCTGCCTTGACTTCCCATTCCCTCATGCAAAATTATTTTTATTCTGGTGCGACAACCTTTTACAATGGCCGCAAAAATGAGGAGAATTCCAAAGGGACGACAAAAACAAGAAGCTCTTTGATTTGCCGACACACTACACGCTTCGCCTCGCGTGGGAGAAGAACCTGTCCGTGAAACGCTCAATTCTCTTTCAAAGCCACCTCCCATTTACTGTGTGGCATTTCAAATGCTTACACACCAAAGTCACCACTTCTTTTGTCTGCCTCAAAGCCTTGGGGCAAGAAGTACTGCGCTCTTACTGGGGATTTACCGGCTGGGGATTTGGCCTTTTCCTTGTGTTATTGGTCCTTGAGCTGTCTATATCTGGGTTTCGTGTGAACTGTTGATTGCGTGCCTCTCTCTATGCGTAGCGGTGTGAGACAGTCGGCAGTGACGAGTTAAAGGCTTTTTTAAGTGGGATGACTAAACACAACTGTTGGATGACTAAATTCTTCTACTTTCCCACTGTATGTCTGACCCCAACAATTCTACGGCAAAAAAGGAGATTCTGATTTGCACAGAAGAATATCAATCAGTCCTCCATGAAGAAAATGCTTTTGCTTTTGAGTTTGGAGAACAAGCTGGAAAAACAGCCCTGAAACTCAAACAACGAGAGAACAAACAATTAATTTAATCAATCTATATGTTAGGAATCAGCCAAAGTCTGGGATCGTGTCTTTAATTCAGACAGAAGGCATGTTTTATTGTTGATGGTAGACGCACGAACAAAAGAACACGAACAAAGGATGTTAAAGACAGCAAGTGATAATATACTCAGGAGAAACAGAGATCTCCAATCAGCAGCTGCCACAGTGTGCTTGTAGCTTGGCCTCCAGATAGACAAAACAAGTAGTGGAGAAGTACAGGCTTCTGCACATGGTTAGAATGATGAGTTTGACTTTAACCATAGTTGCTTAAAAGTGTTATCAAATCACTACAGTTTCATCTTGACTGACAGGACAGAGGTTGTGGGGGTTGAACTAATAGTTGTGAGAACTTTAAGTCTGATGTAAGAAATGCACCAAAGCCACTGAGAAAAACTGTAATTACAAAATATATACAGTATATTCATTCTCAGGGTTCACAGTCTGGAACCTGGACTGCCATGGCATCTCTTTTCTGCAACAGTATATTAATCAGTAAGTGTCTCGAGTGTTCTCATATTAATCATTAGGTGTTTGCATGAAAGGCCTTTTGTGTAATAAGTTAGCCTGAGTTTAGTGAGGTCAGTGAAGAATCAAGGACAGGCTGGCTTTGTGCGATAGTATCCTTTTCAGGAAGGGAGTCTGCTGGTCTTATCATCGGGACATCGTTTTGGGGGACACTTCTTCATCTTCAGCACATTTTATTAAATTGTTTTAACTAGAAATTGTGATCCAGTCTGGACAAGGGACCTGCAGTGTGAAGTCAGAGCGCCTGACTTTTAGCCTGACTCTCCCCTTGTAGATCGCTGAGCTTCTCACAAGGGTCTGGGTCTCCTTCATAGCGGACAAATTTCAGAAGGCGGGGCCTTGTAAAAATAGTCCTTGTTTGTGATTGGATGAACCACTGTTATCTTGAAAGACGTGTTCCTTCAACCACTCACATCGAAGCACAAGATTCAGCACAGACTCCCATGGGTAAATGCCGGCAAGATTTTCCAGCCTAAAAAAAAAAACACCCTGATTTTTTGGCTAAAGCTATCAGGATTCTTTTTATTGTCTTTCTTTTTATTTATTACCTACATGTCGCTTGGAATAAAAGTATGTGGGAAACCACCTGACTAGCAAGAAACAACCCTTCCTCTTAGTGTTGTAAACAGGAACACTTAACACTTAAACCACACTTTGCACAAACATTTGACTCTCAAAACACACATATAACAACAAAGAACCATCAACATCTCGCCTCATATTTCATCAAAAGTGACATCCGTGTCTTAATTCGTTCGTATTTAAACGTTTAAAAAAATCACGGACTTTATGTCAGCCATCTTGGATTCGTTTCGCTCCCACCTGAGACACGCTTGAGAAGGCGGAGCAAACCCGACGTAACACCGGCGATCCTGATTGGCCGATTATTTTTTGATCTCCTGAACGAGTTTGCACTGCGCTCGATCCCAGACCGATGTGGATCAGCCAAACGCCTCTGGTGGAGAATGGTGGAACTACAAGGGTCTGGCGAAAGTCAGGCTACCTGACTTAACACTCGTATATAGACCTTCCTGTCTCTGAAGACAGGGAGAGGTAATTTGGGTCCAGACCGCTGGTAGACTCCTTTGTATTAGGGAATACACTTTTTGGATTTAACTTTTTGAATACTGGTCATCTTTTTATGGGATTTTGAACACGTCATTTTTCATTAGTACATACAGCCAACAACAGCAAATGCCCCGCGGTCACGCACAAATTCTTTTTAAACTTCCCAGAGACCGGCTCTGTCACCATTTTACTCACGCACGTTTCCGCGGCATTCGGAGTGTTATGAGATGCAGGGGCCGATCATTCGGTACATACGTTGACGCGATAATTTTGACGGGCTTAAGTGAAACAATTTTTTTTTTATTAATAATGTTCTTGTCACATTGTTCATAGAGGGGTCAAAGGTGTTCCGGATACTATGAATATGTCAAAAAGTAGAGATGAGGTCTACACAGCTTGATCACTTGGACATACATTTTAAAATACTTTTTTACAATAATCAATATACAAACTATATTTGTATGTACTTATATACTCCTATGGTTCGAACTGAAGGGACTCGGAAATAAACCGGGTTACAGGTGCGATCTCCGCTACCTTGTCTTTATTTCTTGACACTTGATCAAATCCGTTTGTTAACAAGCTTATACATTGAGGTTTTAGTCATCGGTCCAATCACACTCTTTTAATCCATCATCACAAGTGAGAAACCTGGGCGTAATCTTTGACTCTGAGCTGACTTTTATTCCTCACATCAAGAGTATCACAAAAATAGGTTTTTATCATCTAAAGAACATCGCCAGAGTCCGCCCCATTCTCTCTCGGGGCAACACGGAGACGCTGATGCATGCTTTTATCACCAGTCGCATTGACTACTGTAAAGCCCTGCTCTCTGGTCTTCCTAAAAAGAATATTGCAAGTCTTCAATTACTCCAAAACTCGGCCGCACGTGTCCTGACTAAGACCAGGGGGCGGGACCACATTACACCGGTTTTAAAATCGCTGCATTGGCTCCCCGTGTGTTTCAGGATCGATTTTAAGGTTCTTTTAATGGTTTTTAAATGTCTTAATGGTCTTGGGCCTTCTTATCTTTCAGATTTGCTTTTATCCTATGAACCTTCCCGGCCCCTGCGCTCCTCCGGCAGCAGACTCCTAACCATCCCCAAAGTCAGGACACACACTCACGGCGAGGCATCTTTCCAGCACTACGGCCCCCGTCTCTGGAACAGTCTGAGGAGGAGCTCAGGGCCGCAGAGAACGTTCATATTTTTAAAAGTAGGCTCAAGACACACCTTTTTAGATTAGCTTTTGATTAGTTTTTATTGTTCTATTCTTCCATCTTTTATTATTTATTATTTATTATATTGCTATTATTCATGTATTGTGTGTTAGTTCCTTTTAGTCTCACATTTTAGTGTTTTACTTATTGTATTGTTATTGTATTGTTTTTAGTCTACCCAGTGTTTCCTCTGGAGGAGCCCTCTGCACTGGGAGCAGTGGTCGGTGTGGCTGCGGGGGTCGGACTCTTGGGCCTGGTGGGGGCCTGGGGCCTCGGTTTCATGTCTCCTCTGGGTCCTGTGTCATCCCCTGTGGCTACGGGCGGCTCTCTGCTCCTGGTGCAGACGGCTCCTTGGATGACGCTTTTTCAGCTGGTTGCATCTGAACCCTGCCAAGTCTCTCATCATGGTTTTATTGTTTTACTGGTGTGTGTGTGTGTGTGTATGTGTGTGTGTGGGTGTGTGTGTATGAGTGTGCATGGGAGCGTGTGTGTTTGTCTGTGGTTTGGGGTGGGTCTGTTGGGTGGTCTGGGGGAGGGGTCATGGGTCGGCACTTTGTGTTGCATCTTTTGTATGAAAAGCGCTTTATAAATAAAATGTGATTGATTGATTGTACTAATGAATTCACCGGTTCTCTTGCAATCAATTCAATTTATTTTTGCACATCCCTAAATCACAACCGTTATTACTTCGGAGGACTCTCCAACTTTAATTATATTGATTCACCAACACAGATCAGAGAATCAAACAGTTCAAACTCAGGAAATGCATTGGTCCATAAGGAACAGATGACAAATGTCCATAACTGTTAATAGATGTCCATGGTTGAGTTCGTTGGGGGAGTAAGGATCTATCCATACTTACAGAGTCCTCTTTCATGCAAAATCTTTTAGGAAAATGTTCCCATTCAAAAGTCAGATCTTTTGTTTTTGATTGTCAGTCGCCATGGTGGTGATCCTTATTTCTCCCGATTCTGACTCCCATGTGGCTTCTGGATTGCATTGTACAATGTGTCGACATGATCGGACCGCTCCATCCGCAGAGACTTCGTCGCTGTTTTTCCGTCAAAGTTTTGAGACTCAGACGTCGGCTGCAGATCCAACGTGCAGTAAACCGTGTCTGCTTTTCCGTCGCGGTTTGATGCAGTGGTTTCTGGGTCTACGTTCTCATAGGAGACGTCAGCTTGAGATGAGGAAGTGGAGATTCTTAGTTGAGAATGCTGCTCTATTGGTTGGCTTTTTATCACCCGTGGCTGAAACAACAAGTGTTGAGTTTTGTCATGTAAGTGTATAAATGTACATAACATTATAATTTTGCATGTTCCACTGTATGGCATTGGGCTGGGATTTAAAGCTGAGGTATCTAACTTTCAAATCAATGGCTCTCAAAACAGTCACTACTAGTTTTAACATACATGTATTTTTCCACCTCTGTCACATCTTTAGTTCAGTTTTTTCAGACAGAAAAGAGAGGACCAGCCTCACTCAGCCCAAAGCATCAGATGGTGACTACCTCTTTTTTGTGAGTAAGAGTTTTGTTAGAAATTTGTTCACAACATTTTAGGTTCACTAAACTCTTTCTGTTGGGACAAACATGTAATATTTATGAAAAAAGGAAAGTTAGATAACCCAGGTTCATGTATTAAAATCTCATGGCAGTTGGTTTCATTGTTAAAGTAGCAATATGTAAAATGTTCATGTCAAGTCATCATTAAATACGTATTTAACTGATGAAAGTAGTTCAGCCGAGATATTCAAATTTGACATTTAGTTTTATAGCCCCTAAATCTTGTTATTGTTTTCCTTTCGGTGTCCCGCCCTCCACCGTTTTACCAATCAGAAAGTCTGTGATCCAGGTTGCCAGAACTCGAGCTAATTTAACTGGTAAAGTAACATGTGACCGCAGAACTAAAAAAAGGTCTTGTTATGATTCTCAAACCATTAATGACAAAACATGGAACAAAACGATGATTTCTATCATGGCCTTTGCGAAAAAGGTGTTGGTGAAAGATTTGTTGTTGATTCTATTCAGATAATATGGTCCCAGCTGGATTCGTCTGCATATCTGGCAACCTGAGTCAGGGAGAGTGGGAGAGGTTGCAGTACCACTTTCAACATACTGCTCCTTTAATACAAATAAGCAACACAATGATTTAAAAGCATTGGTTTGACCAAAAAAACTTCTGGTGGAGGATGAACAAGTTACCTTTGAATGGCTTTTTGTCTTTGTCGTATTTCCACAAACCTGTTGTTTTTGACGTCGTCTTAAAAAGAATTTCCTCGCCCCAAAACAAAGTAATAAAAACACAACAATGGCTAATGCACTAGTCGTCAAAGCCAAAGTGACATAATTGGACACAGGGGAATCTTGTCCAGTGCTGGAACCTGTGCAGATAAATAATATTATATATAAGTTTAGATCATTGGATTAATGAGCGTTTATTCTTGTTATGATAATGTTTTCTATTTTTTATCTAATTCTGATTGATTCACAATGTATTATTAAACTGCATCCGATCAATTTAATACTGTACAAAATAATGTGGTTTATTGTTGTTTTAATAAAAATAATAATAATTATTAGAATAATTTAATGATAAGAGTATCAACACAGAAATAAATCAAAAACAAATAAATATTTAGAATTTATACTTTTTCTGCAGCATTTTTTTTTTTCAAAACTAAATAAATGCAAATAAAAATGCACGTTTCTGCAGGCTACGAAGGGCCATAGAGGTTTAAGACTAAATGTCATGCGTAGAATGTATTTTCACATTTTCAGAATAACTGCACTGAAGTGAAGAACAAAGAACAAACAAAATCAAGTCATCCAACCAATATTTTGGGTTTTCTTTTCTACTTTTGGTCAAACCTTTTTCTTGCTAGAGTCTTGCTCAAGTTATTGATTAAAACCTCACCCCATTATTAGAAAAGGGTTTATGACTCTATAATAATTCTGATCAAATCAATTATGTTACATTTAGTCTCTATGAAAATGTTCTTGAGTGGCGTCGCTTAAGCTTTGTTTTGGACAAATTTTAAGATTAAAAAGATTAAAGATTAAAAAAAATCTTTAATCAACGGATTAAATAAAACAAAAGAATGAAAGAATAATCACCAAACTAATGGATTCTTACACAAGGCTTCTGTCTGCAGTGAAGTCTCCTTTGAGCTGACGTGATTGTGGACGACGCAGAACAGTTTGTGTCTATGAATGGAGGCAGTGATGTTGATTTCAGAGGAGCTTTGCTGAGCCGTTCTGCATCTGTACTGGTCACACTGGGACCAAAGGTGCAGGTCATGGACAGAGCAGTTCACATTGAAGATGCAAAGACCCGAAGGCACATTCACCTGCTCCACAGTGACACTCATGGCTGGTTTGGGAACTGCATCTGTGGCCAGAGAACAGAACTATGGAAAACAACGCCATCTTATGGACAGTGGGATGTAACACACCAAAAAGACAAAGGTACTCACTCAAATCTATTATTTCCTCCCAGGCACAAAGCAAAAATCCTATTTTGTTTGTATTTATTTCTCTGGGTTTGTGATTAAGAGTCATCAGGTTTATGTTGTAGGTAGTTTTTTTTAAGTAAGTAAGTTTATTTGTGTAGCGCCTTTCACAGACCAGGATCACAAAGCGCTTCACATTTAAAAACACACAGATAAAAATTATACACATACAAGTCAGATATAAAAACGAAAAGACAGAAGACGGTCCTCATCATGAACACAGTTTCCCAGAAGCCTTTGTACAATGAGGCAAGAAAGCCTATCCTAAACTATCCTATTCGTCTAAACATCAATCAGAAGTTTGATGTGAAACAGACACAAAGATGAGGGATTACTAAAATCAATGACAAATATAAATAATCTAAAAATATGAAAGAAAAATGTTTGGATCACTTTTATGGGAAGCCCGATTGCTAAAATGGTTTGAGCTCATGGGGCAATTTTGCAACTTTGCAACTTTGCCGCTAAAAAGGGTTGATTTTGTTACGCTTTGGTTTGAAGTTACCTATGATGATTATTTATTGTCATTGATATTCAACACAACTTCACTTGAGCAAAGCAGCAGAATAAAACATGTATCAAATTGGTTAAATAAATAAATACCTCTGCATTCTCCCACTCACTCAATATAAAAAAACTTGAATAAATGTATTGCACTAAGACAGGATTTAGAGCCATGTGGCCCTCTGACCTTTTCCCTTCTGCAAACCTCTTCCTGTCTTCTCCATTTAAATGATCGGGAAGCAATACCCAAGTTTGCAACTTCATCAGCGCTACAATGGCAAGTTATACTTTAACAATAAATCATCGAAAACATTTGTCACACCACAATACTCAGCCTTTTTAGCTTTAGTCCAGCTTTGGTTCAATCCAAGAAATAATTGAAATCTAAATACAATTAAAAAGTATAATAATTACAACAATAAAAATTGGCAATTAAAAAGTGGTAATCAAAGAAACAGTAGCAATAGTCATGCAGGTTTATTTTTTTATGTTTTATTTTTTTTAATCAAATCAAAATTTCCACCTAAATTGAAAAACGTGTATTTGATGCTTATCTATCAAATACACACATGTTTGTCACATTTTTAACTGAAGGAGCTTACACAACAAATATGTTGTTCCAAACTAAACTAAAAATGGTAACTACAGGAAATCCGGCTCTCCACAAAATCAGAGAATCCCAACGTGAGTTAGAGGAAGGTGTAACTTATAAAAACTTATTTGGGTTTTAAGGTCCCTGAATTCCTTATCTGGAATTACAAAGACAGGATGCAAATACAGTGCCTTGCGAAAGAATTCGGCCCCCTTGAACATTTCAACATTTCGCCACATTTCAGGCTTCAAACATAAAGATATAAAATTTAAATTTTTTGTCATGAATCAACAACAAGTGGGACACAATCGTTTATTGTTATTATTATTATTGTTTACAAAAATGTATTGGATAATTTAAACTTTTTTAACAAATAAAAAAGTGAAAAGTGGGGCGTGCAATATTATTCGGCCCCTTTACTTTCAGTGCAGCAAACTCAGTCCAGAAGTTCAGTGAGGATCTTTGAATGATCCAATGTTGTCCTAAATGACTGATGATGATAAATAGAATGCGTGTAAACAAGTCTCCGTATAAATGCACCTGCTCTTTGATAATCTCAGGGTTCTATTTAAAGCGCAGAGAGAACCATGAAGACAAAGGAACACACCAGGCAGGTCCGAGATACTGTTGTGGAGAAGTTTAAAGCCGGATTTGGATACAAAAAGATTTCCCAAGCTTTAAACATCTCAAGGAGCACTGTGCAAGCAATTATATTGAAATGGAAGGAGTATCAGACCTCTGCAAATCTACCAAGACCCGGCCGTCCCTCCAAACTTTCATCTCAAACAAGGAGAAGACTGATCAGAGATGCAGCCAAGAGGCCCATGATCACTCTGGATGAACTGCAGATAACTACAGCTGAGGTGGGAGAGTCTGTCCATAGGTCAACAATCAGTCGTGCACTGCACAAATCTGGCCTTTATGGAAGAGTGGCAAGAAGAAAGCCATTTCTCAAAGATATCCATAAAAAGTCTCGTTTAAAGTTTGCCACAAGCCACCTGGGAGACACACCAAACATGTGGAAGAAGGTGCTCTGGTCAGATGAAACCAAAATGGAACTTTTTGGCCACAATGCAAAACGATATGTTTGGCGTAAAAGCAACACAGCTCATCACCCTGAACACACCATCCCCACTGTCAAACATGGTGGTGGCAGCATCATGGTTTGGGCCTGCTTTTCTTCAGCAGGGACATGGAAGATGGCTAAAATTGATGGGAAGATGGATGGAGCCAAATACAAGACCATTCTGGAAGAAAACCTGTTGGAGTCTGCAAAAGACCTGAGACTGGGACGGAGATTTATCTTCCAACAGGACAATGATCCAAAACATAAAGCCAAATCTACAATGGAATGGTTCACAAATAGACGTATCCAGGTGTTAGAATGGCCAAGTCAAAGTCCAGACCTGAATCCAATCGAGAATCTGTGGAAAGAGCTGAAGACTGCAGTTCACAAACGCTCTCCATCCAACCTCACTGAGCTCGAGCTGTTTTGCAAGGAGGAATGGGAAAGAATTCCAGTCTCTCGATGTGCAAAACTGATAAAGACATACCCCAAGCGACTTGCAGCTGTAATTGCAGCAAAAGGTGGTGCTACAAAGTATTAGCGCAAGGGGGCCGAATAATATTGCATGCCCCACTCAGTTTTTTATTTGTTAAAAAAGTTTAAATTATCCAATAAATTTCGTTCCACTTCACGATTGTGTCCCACTTGTTGTTGATTCTTGACAACAAATTTAATTTTTATATCTTTATGTTTGAAGCCTGAAATGTGGCGAAATGTTGAAAGGTTCAAGGGGGCCAAATACTTTCGCAAGGCACTGTACTAACATCAGAATCGTGTAGAGCCTTGAGCCAAAGTGGCGAGTGTGAGAGAAAAGGTTGCAGTGCTGGAGGACTTTACTTTTAAATGTAAATGAATGGAGCCAAAGCTACAGTATATGAAGCAAAACGCCCATGAGCACTTTAATATTTGGCTTCTTTGAGCGTTTGTCCACTCCCATTTCCCCTACAGTCCATGGGGACCAGTAACAACAGAAATATCTAAAAATCTACAAATATGAAAGAAAAATACAATTACAATTTAGCAACAGGTGAAAGTTTGAAGAATGTATGTCACTCACCTTCAACAAGAAGACGAAATTCTCTTTCTATGTTGGTAAAGTTTGGCTCATAGATGAATTTATAGCTGCCAACGTCCTCCTTAGTCAAGTTCCTGATGCACAACGTGGCATTTGACTTGTGATAGTCAACTTTTCTGTCAAAAATCGGATTCATAACATTGTTTGAAAAAATGACCGTGGCTCCATGACTCCATTTAGCAGTTTCAAACGGTGGCTTTTCTCCGGGGTCCAGACAAACGGACTGACCTTTCATACCATACAATATCTCTGCCTTTACACCTGCACAAAGCAACAGAATATTGTTGTTATCGCTGTAAGACTGTACACGAAAAGAAAGACATTATTAAGTGTATTACCTGAAAAGCAGTACAGGCCCAGCAGTAGAAGTAACATCGTTTTGCTGTTGTTGGTGTTGTGTATGCTGGAGTTTGGTTACGACAAGCAAAGAGACCAGATGTTCAGGAAATGTGCAGACTTATCACATCCTCTTCAGTTCTTTGTGGTTCCATGATCATGTGAACTCAGAGAATAGACTTTAAAACAGCTCTGCTTGTTACAAGTCTCTCCATGGCCTCGCAACAAAATATATTAGTGACATGTTAGTCCCATATGAACCAGCCCGGACTCTGAGGAGCACAGGGACTGGACTCCTGTTAGTGCCCAGAGTCAGGACTAAACATGGGGAGGCTGCTTTTCAGATTCATGCTGCTAAAATCTGGAACAATCTTCCTGAAGATGTGAGACAGGCCTCCTCTCTGACAATGTTTAAAACCAGGTTAAAGACAGTTCTGTTTAACTATGCATACAGCTGAGGGATTTTATATTTTTAGCTTTCTTTTTAATGTTCTATGATTATTTATGATTTTAATGCTTTCTTATTTTGTTCAGCACTTTGAATTGCCTTGTGTATGAATTGTGCTATATAAATAAACTTGCCTTGCCTTGCCACTACAGTAAACAAGTTTTTGCTTTGAGTCATTCTGATTCTCTTTCATTGACTTCAAATGCGTTGCCTACACTGGAAAAACAGGCCACAAATGCCAAAGTCTTCTCGATTTGAGTCAAGAGCCTATACAACCCACAAAAGAATTACAAACAAAACACCAATATATTTCAATCATTTATTTCTAATCTTGTGTCTATCTCCAGTGAATAAAGACTAAAAGTATAATATTCAAGTTGTTGTGTGTTCATTTGTTAACAACAGTACACATAGACACATTGATAATCACCTACATAAAAGGTGTGTCTCTTAAGGCTGGCAGCAATGTATTAAATATTAGCAAGAACTGACAGTATTTTACAAAATGTACAGAGGTATGCGTAAATGCATACAGTAACAGGCAAAGTGTCAATCAACAATAGAAATCCTTTTTCATAGTGCAGTTGTTAGAAAAGTTAGAATTTCTTCAAAAATGATCTACAGTACGAGTTAAAGTGCTTAGTATTGTTATCCGACTAACATTCGTGATCGTTTCTACTGCAATGTTAGTGGTTAATGAGTACATACAGTTTATACAAAATGTTGTTTTGAGTTCCTTTGTTAAAAATATGCGTAAAAAATATGTGTACATTTGTGGGGAGTTGGAACAGTGCCACTATCGTCAAGGCGTTTTATATACAATGGTGATCTTTGCCTTTTCTTAAATACAGTACGTTTAGACATATTTGAGGTTGAACGTGATTGGCTGTAAAATGTACCTTGGTTACGACTGTTGACGCTGCTTTGTTTTGACAGACCTTTCATTGTTTCCCTTTTTCATTTCTATTGTTTCATTTTCTATTTTCAAATTTTTTTAGTGGGATTTTCTTTAAGTCATTTCACAAAAGGTCCCACATTTTCTCTAATGTGCCCCCAGTGAAATTTGACCTTCGAAGAAGCACAACAATAATTGAAAAAAACAAGAATACAAAAAATTCAAAGAAAATACAAAATGTAGATAATTCTCACCCAGAGATGTGTCCTCCCTTTTTCATTTCTGAATATTCACTATTTAAATAACAATTTCTCACATAATATTCCCTTTATATGTATCCCGATACAAAAGTGGCATCCCTTAAACAAGTCAAGAATATATCTTTGGAACACTCTCAACAGAAGTATATCATTTCAATAAAAAGTGTTTGGAATCGGTCTCTCTGGTCCGGTCCTTAGACTGTGTATCAGAAGTGGACTGACCCAGCGCTGATGTCACATAGTGTTTGCCGAATGCGGAAGGAGCTGATTTGAACATAAGCTAGCTGGAGCCGATAACCTTATATGGGCGCTTGTTTGTTTGAGTTAAATGGAGGCATCTGATTGGCCCATCCTCATGGTACATATCTTGATAACAAAGACAATATCAAACTTCAGGATCACAGATTTTTAAAGCCAAAATTTGCTTGGCGAGAGGATTTTACTTTTCAGTCTAAGTCAATAGTAGCCAGAGCAAGTTGGATTAAAACTTTGTACATGAGCACTTCTTTGTTGGGCGGTGAGCATTGTCCATCTGTGTACAGTCTATGGTCGGATCCCAAATGTTTGCTGCGGGTTTGAAAGAGTGAAAACAGCTAAAACTGTAGTTATTTATGTCGTATTAGTTGGTAAAAAGAGACTGGGACTTAATTCAAGAACATACACTCTTCTGTATGAGTCCAGTTTGATTCAAAAATATTTAGCCACAAAACAAAATTAAAATTAGTATAATCTATATATTCTAGCATTATATTACAGTTTGATTTAAAGGACACATATTATGCATTTATTTGTTATTGTTTTAACATGTTTTGGAACTTGTGCACTATTGTGAACAGATTTCATACATAATTAAGTTTTCAAAGTAAGTTTCAAACGTAATGAAATTCTTGAAAAATACACAGTATAAATGAATTACTGTATTCCCCCAACTTTGATTGGGTGTTAGCACTCCATCTACTGGAAGCATTGGGACTTAACCCGGCTGACAAATTCATATAATCTCACAGTTGTAATAAAGGCATCGCTGAAAATCTCAGACCTTAGACGTTTGGGGATTATTCTTGGACCTAAAACAGTGCAGGAGACCTTTAGGGAACATTTAACAAGTATGGAGCAAGTGACAACAACTGAAGTTAGTTTTGGATTTGTATATGAAGCTCATCTTTGCATCTGTGGATAATTGTATGCGCGTTTAACATTATGGAGTTATTTTGACAAAACACATTACTTTAATTTAACATGAGTTTGGATTATTTCTCTGAACAAACCTACTCTATGTTTGGACTGAATCAAAACTTAGTCAAAGGTAAAGGATTGGCCATGATTTATACTTCTAAATCAAAAAGGTATAATTATGTGGTGAGTTAAAATGTTAGAATGAAATGCATACAGTAACCATCAATGCTGCAAGTTAAAAGTAATAAATGAAAATTATTTTAGGGGCCACTGGAAAATGGTCTGGCATTTGTCATCTTGTGTCTAAATATAAACCAAATAAAGTATTGATAATGTGTGTCCTTTAATCAGTATATCTCTGTCTGTGCTGCAGCAGACTTTGTTCTTTGTGGCATCTCTACAGTATTTACAACAACAGTAACATTTGAGGATTCACTGGTGTTAAGTGGTTTTTGTCTCTGTCTGCTAAATCCTAACACTTTCTTTTTACTTTTTTTCTTTCCTTCTTCTCTTTTCATCTTCTCAGATTTATGTCGAGTCTATTATTGGACATCTGTGAAGCGAAGCCGACCTGTTTGATCAGTGCACTCTAGGGCCTCTAGAGAGTCACCTCACAGGCTTTAATTGTGACAAATGACTTGTCCTTTCCACTGAAGAAGAAGAAGGCTGGAGCCAAGGTGTTTGAGGCTCGCTGATGTGATCACCCTGAGTCTGGGGCTTAACAGGATGGAGAAGAGATGAGGACACACCACTACCTCTATCACTGACAGAAGGCTAAGTTCTCACGGTTCAGACTCGTCCTCGGGGTTCAGACCAGTGGGGGCGGGTCCCAGCTCAAAAATGTCCATGAGCATGTGCGCTGACCTACTTGCAATACCACCCCTGGCCAGTCGGTTTGGACTCAAAAAGAGAATTATCTAATGTTTTTGTATGCCGTCTTCTTTCCTCTCGAAAACGTCTTTACAGGATGGTCCAAAAGTTGGCTCTTGGCCCAAAGCTACGTTCCTGATGTGTGTCAATGCTGAGGGGAGTATGTTTTTTGGACCACTCTAGTAGGGCCTTTGCGGACTTCAGAAGGCAATGAATCATTTAATGAATGGGGCTGGTGCCGCAAATGCGTTTTTTCACATTTTCCTGTGGGAGGGGCTGTCCGCGGTCATTTTGAAAAAGCCCCATAGAAGCCAGAAGTGATAGCCCATGGTTTCAACAGCGGAGAAAGGTGTGACTATGTACATTAATATTTACAGTCAATGCTTCAGACTCAGTCCTCAGGGTTCAGAAGGCTCGGTCAGGTGTGCGTGAGCCGTTGGGCTGCACAGTTCTGGATATATTGCAAGTTTTGGAGAAAAAAAGCATCAACATTTTTATGATAAAATCCTTATTCTGAATAAAAATGTCCTCCGATGATGTGTTTTATAGAAACATTGTGCTTTTGTTTGCGATGGTTTGGTATTTGCGGTGGATTTTGATTAATCATAACATGTACACAACTTCATGAGGACATAATATAAAGTTATGGAATAATTGGATACAATATTTGTTGAAATTTTGCTGTTGTTGAATTATAATTTCATGTAGAGTAAAATCATCTAAGGAGACACAGCCACCATTTACTGTATACGAAATATTAATATCATAAATCGTGACGGTTCCTGCTGCTCAAAGCCTGATCTAATCCAATCTCAGAAGCTAAGCAATGAGACAGCTCTAATACTGTTGTGTTCTCAGGCACCATGATGTTTACAGCTACATGAGCGAAGGTCAGAGGACGGCGCAGATCGGAAACTGTGGTCCAGTAAAAATAAGGAGCACACAGCACAAGACAAGATAAACAATAACTCTGTACTAAAGAAAAATTACATCTCTAACTTTAGCATAAAAAGAAGCAAGTATAAAATCTCTAATTTTAACATAATAAAAAAGAAAGCATAACATTTCTAACTTTTGCATAATCTAAAGACTCCAACTTTAAGATAATGAAGAAGCAAGAATTAAGTACAAAATCTCTGACTTTTTACCTTAAGATTAAGAGATCCTTTAATTGTCTTTTATTTCAGATAACAAGAAGTAGGTATAGTCTCTATCTTTAGTATGACAAATTATAAAACACTGTGTATTCAAAGCAGAGATATGTAGTTATATGTTTACATCTGTACATGTTAACAGCATGTGGCACTGGGACACAAAGACAGGGATATATGTGGTTCTATAGGGCACATTGCACAACATTGCAATGGAAAACGACATGTCAGGAACGTAA